GTGTGTGTGTGTGTGTGTGTGTGTGTGTGTGTGTGTGTGTGTGTGTGTGTGTGTGTGTAAGGGGGTGTGTGGAGCCAGGCTGGGCCAGCTAGTTGATGGTTGGCTGCTTGTGAATGGGGGAAAAGACAGAGCTCATTACAGCTACAGCAGCACTCTGGCTTTAATTAGAGCCAGCTGCAGAGAGACGAGCCCACAACACATTCATACACAAACATGCACGCACGCACGCACACACACACAGAAAATCACTGTAAAAACAGTCATCCATAACCTAGACACACTCAATCAAGTCCTGGTGCAGAATAGAGAGCTCTGTCTCCACCAACTCTGTGTTGCAAAACACCGCCCACACTGCTCCTCTCTCACACACTCTGTACATACAGACCCCGTCTTGCCAGTCCGCCAAACAGGAGTCTATGTAATTATTAAATCCATGACACGGAAAAAACTTAAAACAAAACAAAAGTTCCTTGTAGAGTCAAACAAAAAACATTTCATTTTACTCACCAAACACTTGGACGTCATAGAGCACCACGGCAGAGCTGGCCGAGCCGATGCCGTTGTCTGCCCCGCAAGCGTAAGTGCCCGAGTCTCCCTCGCCGACTGCGTCGATAAGCAGGTTGCTAAGCAGGAAACGCGTGTTGTTGTGGAGACGCAGGTCCTGCCCGTCCTTTGCCCACGTGACCTGGGGAGTTGGGATGCCACTGGCCACACACTCCAGCACCAGCCGCTGGCCTTTAGTCACCATGATGGAGCGGGGTGCCGGCGGGTAAATGATCCGAGCCGCTTCTGATGTGGAGCCTGAAAGAATCGAGGCATTGTGCGCGTGAGCACCTACGAGTAAAATGCGTCCCCGCAAGACCAGAATGCCATGCTGAATGAGCAACAGTGACTCACGGCGTATGCGCAGACGATCAGCAGAGGTGGACGTTTTAACCTCCTGAGTGACGGGGTTGTAGGCAGCACACTTGTAGGGCCCCTCATCATCACGTGTGGCGTTGGCTATCTGCAGGTTCCCTGATGGCATGATGAGGTAGTTCCCTGCAGGACCAAACAAAAACATAAGTCTGAGTGAGAGGGGTGCAGAAGAAAAGCAGAGAAAATAATCAGAAATACCACCGAGACAAAGAGGAACCACAGAAAAACCGAGTCCATGTTGTGAAACAGCGTGGGTAATATGAGCCCTGTGTGCCATTCCAATACATAGCTGCACTTCCAGCTGAAGCCACAGAGTGGCACTGTCGAGTCTGACCCAAGTGAATGCTCTTCAACGTGGTATTCATTTCCTCACAGATAAGGTAGATATCAGTACCTACAGCTCCCAGGCATCATCAGCATACCAGCTACAAACCACTGGAGCTTTTCTTCTCTTCCAGGCAACTTGGAAGTAAATAGTTTGAAAAATAAACAACTGCATTCCCATGTTTCAACATTCTCCAGATAATGCCCTTATCGGTGGTTTTACGATGGGTCAGATAGCAGGATTATAGCATTCCGGTAAATTACGAAGATAGTATGGGAATTAAGGAGAGAGAGTGAATGCTATAAAAGATCTTGAGGGATTAAAGCAGCTGGTTACCTTTGGATGTTTCCAGCCATTCCTGTTTGACGCTGTAGCGAACCTGAGCCTTGGGCTGGCTTTCGGGGAGGTGACATTCAATAACAGCCGTGTTGCCTTCATCCACTTCGATCTCCTGCTGGTCATCGGGCTCAAAGTCCCGCAGCTCTAAAAAACAACAAAGACATGAGGAGAAAAGTCAGCGCCGTCTCATAGCTACAACACATTTCACCCTTCTTTCATCATCTTAATATGCAGTGTAAATCACGTCTAACTGCACATGTATACAGTCATTCCTCAGCTTCAGATGTACAAAACCGCAATATTCAGAGCAATAATAACTGTGCTGTTCCCATGTTGGGTGTCTCTCATGTCAGTCAGACTTTGCTGTGTTGTAACCACATTCCCACAGCTTCTCTAATGTTCCCTCTTTTTGGAAAAAAAACTTCTACCTCCACTTCTTTCCCACTGCTCGTCTTTACGTGATCCGCTGAAATTCGCAGGAATTTTAGGAAAGCACTTCAAGCTAATTTTTCTGGTGTCAGTAACATTTGAGTAGGCCACATTAATCTTGTCAAACATTATACCGGGGGACTGGAGCCGGGTCAGATTCTGTGGGAAATGGTGGGAGTGGGGATTACCGGGGCCATGTGCTGTGACTGTGTCCCACAGACACACGGTCTGCACAGCATAGACACTTATCTGGCCCCCTGACCTTCTAAGCTCCTGCCTGAGCGGCCTGGAGGCCTGGCATTGGGGGGAGGGGTCAAAGGGGAGAAAGCGCCATCCTATAGGGTTTCATTGCCATTTTATAGATTTGAAGCAGAGAGAACCTAACATGAGACAGAGAGAAGAAACAGGAGCAAAGAGAACAGCACAGGAGGGGAAAATAACACCCAAAGAAATTTGTCATTAAGGCGTCCAACAGTGAAATGAAAGATAAATAAAACTTCTCCAGGAACGTAATTAAACGTCTGCCAGCCTTTGTTGATTTATTCTTAACAAACACAGCCTCTCCATTCTTTCCAGAGCTGCTATAACTGGGGTGTTTTTCTTGGACCCGGCACACCGAGCTGCCCGTATGCACACACAGTCAGCTGATGAGTCTTTGTACACCTCTAATTCAATAAGCAAAGTTTAGTTAACAGTATCTATTGATAGGGGCTTTAAAGTGATTTACTAAAAGCACTGAACAAACACATTCACTGCGGGCAGCCGATTTATCCACCACGCACGCTGGATCTGCCCCCTCTGCAGGCGCCTGGGGGAGCTTTAATGGGCGTAATGGGGGAGATTGTCTAACACGCACGCACACATTAACAACAAACACACAACACAACCCTATGCCTGTGTCAGCTCTTATTCTGAAAGATGAGAATCCCAGCCAGGACATGTCAAGCTTAGCGGGGTGTGTTGAAGGGGAAAAAACCTCAAGGATAGGCCGTGTGGCGCTCCATTTGCAAAATCAATCAGGTGCTGTTTTTACAGACACCCCTTCCCCCACCTCATATCTCCCCACTCCACCTTCCTCCTCCTTCTCCTGGCTGTTTCTCCCAAATTCCTTCATATACACCTTTTAACGCCCCCTCTCACAACTCTACTGCCCCGCATTCTTCACAGGAAAAAAAAAATAAAAATCCCCTCACGGGTGCCTCTCAGGTGTGCACGCGAGCGCGCGCATGTGATGTTTCTTGTGAGTGCATCCTGCATGGATGGAGGATTGATGGCATTCATAAAGTGAAGCAGACCTCCCGCACCACGGCTGCTTGGCAGGGCGAGAAGGAGCGAGAGAGAGACAGTACATTCATCATCTTTATGTGCAGCAGCAACAGGAGTCCCGCGCGCACGTCTCTGAATTATAACACGTTATAGCAACGTGTTGTGCGTTCACGTTGTGCAGATACATGTTTCTACGGCAAAAAAAAAAAAAAAAAGGAGGAGGGTGATTGTCTGCACAAGAATTCAAGCGGGGGAGCTTTTAAGTGATGCCAAGAAGACGCAGATTTTTCGGAGTCGGATAGTGTGGAGGGTCTGGAGTCAACGTATCCTGATCACAAAAAAACATGTGCGTACAACTAAGAGGGCTCACAAGGAAAGGCAAGCACGTACACACTCCCCACGGAGCAGTTCCTTAGGCGGTTTGGGGGTGGCCGAGGAGAAGCAGTTATTAAATTAAAGAGGCTTTTTTGGGAAGGCGGGGCGAACAGACTGGCTCCACATGTGGTTGTCCCAGTGTGATTCATCCACTATTGGAGCAATCAATAACTTTTAATGCCTTTGTAGCTACAGCCTCTGGAGAAAACCCAAAGAAAAATAAGAGCGAGAGAGGTGAAGATGACAAAAAGAGGAGGATGAGGAGGAGAAAGAGAGAGAGGGAGACGGCGATAATGAAAGGAGGCGAGCTGAGAGAAAGTGACAGGGTGAAGAGTGAAAAACGTGCGAGGGGAAATGCGTGTGAAGATGATTGTGGAGGGATCCGAGGAGGCAGAGAATGTGACACCACGTCTCGTCTCGTGTCAGGATCTTGTCTCGACTGGCCTAAAAACAGCTTCCAGTTTCTGCAGCCGCATACATCACATCCCTACGCGTAAAACAATACTGGTAAAAGCACCCTCCCCGCCCCCCTAGCTAATGGTGTGCTCTGCTGGGGCGTATACCTATATCCTCTGTCCACTCTTATCTCCACTCAGCCCTCAGCACAATTACGGGGCCATAACTTCTGGCGAGTCCTGCTGTCGGGCCCTGCAGTGAGGAATGTGGTGTTGTGGGGAAAGCAAAGGGCCAATGAAGGTAGGGGGGCCTCCAAGCTAAGTCCTGCCGGTCCCCTTTCCTCCCCCCCACTTGCTCAGACTGGCCCCTGGGTCCCCTTCATTCCTCCAGCTCAGGTTTCACAGTTTCAGGCCCCCTTTTCAGTCCCACAATGGATATCAAATACAACACCGTACACTAGCAAAGCACTAAAAACGTCAGCATGGGGAATCATTTATTTTAACACTATTAAATTGACGCAGCTGTTTTTTGTCTGAGTACACAGAAGAAAAACTGCCTGACTGTGCAGAGTTAATCCACTTATTACTGATGTGCAACAGATTCTCACTGGAAGGACCAAAACTGCAGTAGGTTTATATTTTTTTTCTCCCCAAAACCACAAGTAGTGGAAAAGTACGAGGTTTACAGTGATGTACTGGTAAAGGTTTAAAGCAAACAAATGCCGCCCCTTCACTGCTTTTGTTCTACTTAGAGAGAGAGAAAGAAAAAAAGTCCAACGCGTTCTTTGGATATTCTGACAAACCAAAAAGGGGCCCCTTTGTTTGTGTTTATTTGTCACAGCTTCGTGTGGGTGGCTACTCACTGGCAGCAGTGACGTCAGCAGGCACACTGGCTAGGGCTCCGGCGCTGGTGCTGGCCACACACTGGTATCTGCCAAGAGTCTGATTGGAGAGAACCGGGATGAACAGGCTGCTGGGCCTCAGCACTACACCCAAATCTCCGTCTACCAGCTCATGGCCGTTGAGGCGCCAGCTGATGTTGGCGGAGGCGGGACGGGCACTGCAATGCAGGGTGACGCTGCCTCCCAGCTTCTGCACCACGGATGTGGGCTCTTCGTTGAACGCCGGCACCTCGTCTGAGGAAACGATTAACAACAAGGATTCAGATGCAAATTAGAAACTCTTCATGTGAGCATGCGTATAAAAGATATTTACACGTCGGGGAACTGATATGTATGTTTGCCATCATTTCTTTTCTTGATTAGTTGGAAATCCAAAGCAAAGTTTGACGTGATTAAACCACAAAATTTCCTACAACAGACCAAGAAAAGCAGCAAATTCCCAGACAAATGTTTGGCTTCTTTGGTTGCAAATTTTGCTTGAATCAGTGAATGAGCTAATCGCCGTGGCTCCACATACAATACTTGCATTATTTTTAGTGGCAAGAACAGCTCATGCACACTATTCCCGCCTTCCAATTTCTTTCAAATAAACTGCTGTACCTGCTGCCAGACACATAACATCTCACTCGCTGTGCCTCAGCCAGAATATTTTGTCCTTGGCAAGGACTTACTGTGCATCAGGTGTGTAAAGGCACTCAGTAACTGAGGGTAGAGTGAGGTAGAAAACTGCCACAGCAAATTGTGACTGAGGGCATGAAGACAGATGGATGGAAAAAGGAAACATTTTCATTATTACGTTGCTTACTGTTAATACACAGAGAGAGGAAATAGGCACTGGGATTACAGTGAGAGTGGGGTCCAGTATTTCACAAGCTAATGTTGTTTACTCACCGGTGAGTGAAGCGCCGCTCTGCAGGCAGCACAGCAGTACTGCGCCAAGAGCGCACAACACTGGAGCCCTTCTCTTTTTCATCCACGGAGTCCAGTCTTGCTTTCCAGACATCTTCCATACACTACCCCCTGAAACACACAACAACAGGAGGTGGTTAGAAAGGTCACGTACAGACTCGGAGCAAAACAGGCTTTAGTCAGTTTGTTTCAGTCAAACCCGACTGAAGCAAACAGGCAGAACTGCACCGAGACACGCATCCTCCATCTAAACAGCGCGCAGCTCCCTCTGATTGAATTTTACTTGTATACACACGTGCACGAACAGGCGGCCGCTAACGAAACACAAGCCAGGCGAGGCGGCGTGCTCAGCAGAAAAACTCCAGACACAAATAAAGTCTTTCTTTTCTGTCAGCCCCCATCTCACCGTTGACCCCATCCCCTCCCGCTGCGCCCGCACCCATCCAGCCCACGCTCATCAAAGGGGCGCCCTCATTCTGCGTGCCGTAACCCGACCCCTCCACCTTCCTGCTCAGGTGTAACCGATACAGGTAGAGCGGTATGAAGAGAGGGAAGAAGATAGAGGAGAAGACTAAAACACACAGGCTGCTTTCAAGAGTTTGGACAAAGAGCAACTAATGAGAGGTAGTAGAAGGGAGGGAGGCACAGGGTGGAAATGTATATATATCCTAGAAGTAAGGAGTGAGGATAAGATGGATACTTAAAATACAAATAGAGAAGTTGCTGGTAATGGTTAGTCTATTAACGGTTAATATAGAAAGAGGGGAGCTTTTCTCTCTCTCCCCTTGCTGCCAAGTTTCCCAAATTCTTTCCTGTCAGGTTAAACTAACAACTTCCCGTCAGGATGAGGAGGGTGGTCCTGCAAAACTAAATCTCCCCTTTCTCCCCACTCACTCCCTCTCTCCCTCACATGCACGCATGTCCTCGAACATACAACGGTCCCGTGAGGGACCTGCAGAAGTGGAAGCGGCACGCAACTTTGAACATGCATTTTTGTTCTGAGCTTAATAAGGCAAAGGGGATGATTAATGAAGCCTGCCTGCACACCAACGCGCTCACACACAGAGAAGGGTCCCAAGGCAGGACAGTAAGAGAATGGAAACTTTTACAGTGCACCTTCATCATCTAATGGTAGCAGTGAAGAAAAAAAGATATATATATATAAGTTTGGCTGCCTGGCACATGAAAACGAGCAGAGCGGTAGGGTGATGGAAAAGCAGCTGCAACAGCTCCACAAGGCCACACATCACTCTCTGCTCCGTTTTAATTGCACATTATGAATGTGTAAACAATTTCAGATGACTAATTCTCGTGCCATCAACAGCAACAAAGCAGCGCTCTGCGTGGAAAAGACAGCGTGGCGCAGTAATGATTAGTCAGCCCCGTAATGAATCGAGTTTATTTACACCAAGAAACAGAACTTTTTTCTCTTTTTTTAAAGCTGCTAAACGCTCCAGTGTTCCAGTTGTTTTTGTATGCTTCCTGCTGGGTGTTGGATTTTAAGATAACTCTACATAATGCTATTAGCACTGATGCAAAATTTGTATTAATACCCTGTTAGACAAAAACTCCAATCACTGATTTCTCTAGATTCACACATGTGTAGACCTTCTGTTTATCTCTCATTGTGACAAGCCCTCAAGAATGAGGATAACCCTTAGTGTCAGCCCTACATACATGTACAGTTTCATTTAATCACTCGTCCACACAAAGTGGCTCATCAGTAGCGGGCTCACTCTGTAAACAAACAGCACGCTACTGTGGGGACCAGGAGGGAGCAGAGCTGAAGGCCTGTGGCTTCTGTGGCTGGTCACTATATGGACACAACTCAGTTCAGTACAGCTGCCCATAAAAAACACCTACATCTCTGTGGAGCACCTGTCCCGACTGTAAGAGTCACTAACCATAAACCAACTACACGCACAGCGGGACACGCTACCTCAGCGCGTAGCCCTCCCACATGTCCGATTTCTCATTCTTTTCAAAATAAAAGCACTAGCAATCAGACGAATGACAGAGCTTTGTTGCAAAGGCACCTCGTACAATATCACTCCCTTAAAAAAAGAGCCCTGCTTCTCTGAGTGTGTCTGTTGGTCTGATTCATTAGCGAGCTGGGTCCTGTGTTTGCTTAGCGGATACCCTGCGTCAAGATGAAGAGTTGCCCTGACATCCATGTCCAACTTTTTCCATCACTCCCTCCCAGAGAAGCCAGAGAGGGAAAGAGGAGCCTCCCACGCATCAGCGACACTGATAAAAAACAGAGCACACACACAGAGACAGCTCCCCTAAATTAAAAGCAGTGTGCGTGTGCACGTGTGTGTCTGTTTGTGCGCACATATGCCTGTGACTGTTTTGTTACAGCCCTACCATGAGGAACGACGCCGCATGGCAAACACATTGTGCGAACAGCTTTGCGGTATATGAGACATACTTTAGTGACAGTGCAAGAGAGGGAACTCTGTGAACTGTTCAAATCTGCCAGTCCCACTGAACAAGTATGACTAGAGTGGAACCATTTCTGTAGTCACAGTAAGGACCTGAAACTCGACTCGCTACAGTTTTGATGTAGACCAGTAAAAGAGACAGCAAACGATGACAGCGCTGTGATTTTTAGATTTTGGGTAGCTGTTTTAATATTTATCTTTTGGGTAATATAGCTATTTTTTAGTTTAATTAAGGATTTTGTTCATTTAAGTATTGAAATAAAAAAAAGTCTAAACTTGCTGACATTATTGAAAGATTTTCAACCTACCCCTGCAACAGATGGGCCTCCATGCAACATATGCATTAAATAAAATGTGAAAAATCAACTTTTTAAAAGCATAATTGTGCATATACACTGCTACAGATCCATATTAAACAGAGTTTCTGCAGGATTTCTTCTATCAGATCCATTCTTGTGGTTTCAGCAGGTTTAGATTTTCCTACCCTCCCTCAGTGCCTTCATGTTCCCTTTGAAATTTAGGGAGAGAAAAAAAAGACTTTGATGCTTATTACATCTATAAAGGTGTCAATAGAGAAAATGTTTTAATGGCACATATCCATGTATTGCACAAAAAATCCTTTCCAGACAGTTCTGTTCAAACCCTTTAAACTCATCTTGGTTTATCGTGATTAAAAAGTTCATTTTCATGGGAGGAGTTTTTAAGGGATTATCTTCGACTGCTGTGGTATTTTAATGGTCATCTCAGGGAGATCTTAAAGGTGTCTTGACTTGCAATTTGCTGTGAACACTTAATAACTTGCCTTCAGGACTAAGGAGTGATCACCTTAATAGTACGATTAAACATTTCTATCCAGGTGGGAGTGTCCTCGGGGGCAGAAACATATGAAAAACTTATGAATCTAATTGTATGATGGCCAACCTTTTACAAAGTGCTTTCATCATATCACAAATGAGGGAATATGTTTTGGAAGAATTACATTCCATCCCTCCAGTAGAGTTACCATGCGGTGGACCAACACCATTGGTTACTGGACACAGATAGCTGTGGACAGCCAAACTAGCAATATACCATTTTTGTGTCCTCATGGTGTCCGCCTTGAATAGGCATCCATTCTTTGTGTCCTTGTTGTGCAGCATCTGCAAGGTCACGAAAAATTGGCAAGCACACGGATGTCTGCTCAGAGCCACGTGTTCGCCCTCGGATACCTAAATAAGCGTCACTTGAATTAAAACGGATGTTGGCCCATTTTGCATACTCTGAAACCAGAAGAAGAAGCTACTCTGTGCGGGTTCTTACTCCAACACCTGTTTGGAGAGGGCGAGGAGAAAGCACAAACAGCAGGCAGTGAGAGGTTGTGGCGGTGGTGTGCAGGCATGCATCACGAGCTGTAGGTATGCCGGTGTCTCATATGCCGTTGTGGGGCAGAGACACTTGACAGAAGTTCATTGTGAGCGTGCTAAGTAAAGACACCGGGGCCCCCGTTCTCCTGGGCCACTGCCGGTCCCATTGTGCCTCTGCCTCTGTGGATAAATTCATTTTGACAACCCTGCTAATTGGATAAAACCCGACTGGAGCCTCCTCCCCGAGCTCTCACATTCCATCTGCTTTCTAGCACGGAGAAGACGAACAGGAGAGAGAGGAGGCAGTGAAGGGGTATCAGGGTAGTAACTTCTCGTGAGGAGCTGAGCTGTTGAATATTTATCACCTCCCCAAAGTCCCCTCTTGCGCTCCCTCCTCCTCCCCCAGTTTTTACGTCTTTTTACAACCCGTGCGCTCCCCTCCACCCCACCCTATCTTCCCTTAAGGTTCTCCAAACACCACAAAGCCCCCCCTTTAGATAAACACATGCGGTGTCAAGTGTTAGGAGTGCCGGGGGTTCAACTGCCCCGCTCGGGCCCGCAGCCCACAATGCCACGCCGCATAGCTGTCATGCGGGAGGCCGGTTGCCCCTGGCGACGCTAACAGGCAGAACGCACCTTAATAGAGTGGAGAGTCATTGTAAAGCAGTGAGCCGGTGCACAGACAAAGACCCCGCAGACCCCTGGAGAAAGGGGAGACGCTACTCTGAAGGGTCCGGGGAAGAGCTGATGGGCCCTGCTCAATGACCAAAGAGAAGAGGGAGGGTGGGGTGGGGGGGTGCTCAATGACCAAGAGGTTTCTGTAGTGGTGTGTGGAGAGTTTGTGGAGGCAGAGAGGAGGAGAGAGAGTTCGGTGCCTTTAAAGACTGATGTGAGCTGGGTGAAGGGGGTTTTATGGATGCAGGGGTAGGTGGGTGGGTGGAGAGGTTGACTGAGAAAGCTGAACAGCGACTCAAATTAATAGAGAGGATGTCAACTGGCAGGCGAGCAGGAGGAGAGAGCAGAGCCTCATCAATGAGCGGCTGTGTTCGAGGGAGCGTGTGTGAGAGCGTCGCTGAATGTCTCAACATATTTTCTCCTCATTCTGTCAATCTGTTGGCTGGCCTCTTAGCCTGGCCGGGGTTTTGGTGCTGAGTAAAGGAGGAGGACGCGCATGGTCCAACACAACCACATCCGGTTTACCATTAGACCATCACACAGGGCAACTACATAAAAGATGAGAAGGGGATTTTTATTCCAACAAATTCTCAAGAAAACACTGAGACAGGCGTCACATGTTAGCTGCTGGTCAATGACTTCCTTGTTC